TGTGTGTATATATATATATATATATATATATATATATATGTATGTGTATATATATATACAATGTATACTGTACATAATGTTTTGGATTTTAGAGGAACGTATTCGGAAAGCAGCTGTGTCACTCGAAACATTATCAGGTGCACCGTTTCACCTAGCCAATCAAATTCAAGCAGTGACGAAATTGAGTTATTTATGCCCTGAGTACAGATTTACAGGAAATTATTTGACCCACAAACTGTTGTAGAAATCATTACGGAGTCACATGAAGCTACATATCAACATTAAATCCAATAATTTAGATTGAATTCAACATTTAGTATTGCGATCATGTTGAACTGGACTACATTCAAGCTAATATAAACGTGTAGATACCCTGGAAGGCTGTATTTAGGGCAGAATTTATCCACTGCATGGAAGGAGGAAGTTATCCAACAGTTTTTTCTTCTTCTCAGTAGAGTTGACGTAAAGAACTTCGCTGTACTCGCAAATTAAAAATACAACAACCTGACATCAGGTAACCTCAACACGGATGTATTATATTGGCTGTGGTTGAAAGAAGATATAGTTAAATTGTCGTTCGCTTTGTTGCTCGTTTGTAAATACCATTTTACTGACTGCGCTATTTTACTAAAGCAACGGAGCTAATTGTCGCAAAACTCCATGAAGTTGCGGCAACTGTTTGTTTATTGAAATAACGAGGAATCTTTTTTGTTAATATACAGTATTTTTGTCAATTATCAATAGTTAACCTGCCTTAAAATCACCGGATGAGTCAAACGAAAGAGATGTGGTTTAGTTTCATTTATGAAGATGAGTCAGCTCGTAGTCTTTCATTCACTCAGCTGATCCACGGAGTTGTTTTTACGCACTTGATAATCAGATTAAATATTAAAGCAAACTGACGTTTCCAAACTGTTCTTAATTTGTGAATTAATTGATTTTAACAGTTCCTTTCAGCTGCGACATGCGCTTCTTGTTTGTTAGTTATAAACACATTTATCACTGTTAAACGCGAGTTTAAAACAAAATTAGCTCGGATTTGTGTCATAAATAACTTTGTTTTTAGTTCATAGAATTTTGAAGAGTCATGGGAGATGAAAACACACTGTTCTGTGGCAATTGGTAAGGATGAACCACCTACATAAGATAAATTGTATGAACATCATCACGTTCATCAAACTTTTTGTTCTCTATTTGTTGTTAATTTTTCAGCAAGCGTGACATTCCAGAGGCTAACTTCACAACCCATGAGATTCACTGTCGGAGAAACATTGCACTCTGTGATGTTTGCAAGGAGCCAGTGCCCCGCTCAGAGCTTCAGGAGCACAAGATCCAAGAGCATGCACAGGTACATCTGAACCGCAGGTCTCGCAACATATCGCCATCAAAATGTTTGACCGTCATCAACATAAATATTGTAAGATGACAAATGAGTCACTGTAAAGAATAAGTTGAAAAGCAGCCGTGCATTATGACTCTTCTAAAGTCATTCTGCAAGTTGGAGTTAGGTAGCTAGCACACCATGATACTGTTGTATTTATGTATACAAGTTTTAGTAGTGGTAAATTCTTTGAAGAGTACCTTTCCTGCCTTGCTTAATCTTTAAAAATCAACTTGAAAATGACTTTTAAACTCCTTTACTATTTTTGCCTTGACACAGGCAATGACTAGTCCTATGAATTGTTTTTCGGGGTACACAAGGAAACGAATACACTTTCAGGGTGTTCATGTATATTGTGGACATTTTTCCAACATAGTTCATGGTATGAGGTGATTTGCAGGAGCCTTTTGTTTTTACTTTCCAAACATTTTTTATGTTTTCATGCATGCATTATATTTATTATACATTCACTCAGTTCTCTTGAGTACTGTTAAATATCAGCATTTGAGCACAACAGTTTTATTGAGAGAGTGGTGGCGCAGAGGTTAGAGAAAGCGGGCCTGTGATTGGAAAGTCATCGGTTCGACTTCCCGGACCGACATCAAAATGTGGGTGGGAAAGGTGTAACACCCACACCTGTCTCCACCCTCATTTGCTCCACTCTGGGCCCTTGAGCAAGGCCCTTAACCCCACCTTCTTCCCCGGGTGCCCTATATGGCAGCTCTCTGCTCCACACAGAGGGCTGTGCTAGCTTTGAGGTCTGTGGTTGCATCAGGAAGGGCATCTGGTGTAAAAACAATTGCCAGGTTTTTGTGCGCGTTTGTTCGCTGTGGCGACCCCTGCAGAAGGGAGCAGCCGAAAGAAGAAAGAAAATTATAATAATTTAAGTGCAACAGTTTTATAGTATTTTTTTCTTAATATATATGTATTTAAATTTCTGTCTTATTTTCAGTGTTTGTGACTCAGGAGAAAAGTGGCTGTGTGCCAATTGGAGAGTTAGTGTTTTAATCTCTGCTTCCCCTGCCACATGTCCCAAACTCACTGAAAACAAACCATACGATGACAATAAAGATGGTTCTGTTCTATTTTATGTTGTAGTGTCTGTGGGCGAGACACTGAACCCCAAGTTGCCTGCAATTATCAACCCCAAGTTGCCCGCAATTTGTAAATCCGTGTGCGAGTAGGTGAATGTGGTTTGTGGTGTAAAAGTGTTTAGAGTTGTCAGAAAGACTAAAAAAAGACAACGTAAATGCAGATAGTTTACATTTTCTAGTTTCTTTATTCTTTTGTTTAACTGAGCTTCTTCAAAGGACTCCGAGTTGTAGTTTTATTGACGTAATCCATCCATCCATGTTGTAGTTTCACCAGTGACGTCTTTTTGCCAAAGGAACATATTTGCTGGAGTTTACTTTTTCAAGACTTTGTGACTCATACTCTAAACTTATTTGTTCTTCCATTTTTTTTTTAATTCCAGATTACATGCAAGTGTGGGATGAAAATTGAGAAGAATTTTCTTCATGTGCACCAGGTATACTGAAAGTTTTTTTTATTACACTTTGTTATTTAGCAGAGAGTTTTGACCAAAGCATCTTTTAGATTAGTGATTTATGTTAACTCCAGTATGTATTAAATTTATGTAGTGTGAGAACAGGTACAGAAGAGTAAAGTAAGTATCTGTTTTCAATGGTTCTTTCTTTCAGAGCTCTATGTGCTCTCAGCGTCTCGTTCCATGCCAGTACTGCGAACTGGAGCTCGTTTTCAGTCAGTCCAAAGAGCACGAGGATTATTGTGGTGCACGCACTGAGCCTTGCCCACACTGCAAAAGTAATGTGATGCTGAGAGAACAAGCAATGCATATGGTCATGTGTCAAAGCTTCACACTTCCACAAGAGAGAAACAACAGTAAAATAAGCTGCAGTCAAGCAGAAGAACCGTCTTCAGACTCATGGCTTGAAGCTCATTCCATCAGAAACCACCTGAGACGTCAAGACAAAGATCCAAAAAATAACAACATCAGTGCAGGGGAACATTCATGGTTTCCTAACTTATTTGACCCCTCAGTTTACAGCACTTCAAGTGGATGTCAGGCCTTGGCAGACAGGAAGAACACAACACCTCAGAGTACAACATTTAGTCGCTGTGAGTCTTTTTAGTATTTTCTTGATGGCAGAAAACATCAATTAGGCTTTTTATTCACGAGCATGCAAGTTTGAAAATGCTACTTAAAACTTCCCTTTTGTTAATCAGTTATCAGTAAATCTGTGCGTTCCTATTGTGAAATAGTTACGTGACTATATTCCTTTTAGTCCTGGAGCAGAATGATTTTCTGCATGGTGACAGCGGAGCGTGGCCGCTCAGCAACCACACAGTGGATGAGGATTCATCAGGCCTCGACTACATGTTGGCTCTCAGCCTTCAGGGTGATGGAGAACCGATCCCTGAAGGTGCAGAGGGAAACATGTGGAAGGGTTTATGGGACCAAAAGGTTGAGAACACATCTGTAACGTCTTCACTTCACCCAAACTTCACAGGAAGGATGAACACAAGTGCTGACCAGGATGAGAGTCAAACAGGTAAAACACTAAAGGTTACAACACATAATGCTATTCTGCTGTAAGTTTATTGTTTAACTGTTTTCTAGATACCATGCTGCCGTGTGAATTCTGCGAGGAGCTGTTTCCTGAGGAAGACCTTATTTTGCATCAGGTTTGAGAAACTTTTTTTTAACACACTTGAGCTCAACATTCTGAACCTCAATAATGTTTTCTTTGTGTGAACCAGCTAACAACAAAACAGCTCATCTACTAACACTCTCTTCAACATAAAACCTGATGTGATAAACAGGAAAGTGTTAAAATATATTTACAGTATAAGTTTTTGTCAGACTTCAGTCAGGCCAGCATTTTATTTATTTTTTTACATTTGAACAAAAGATCACAAACAATCTAAACATGTTTAACCCAGTAATAATACATTTAATTTATACATTTAGTTTAATTTATAACAACCAGAAGTGGACAGTTTGACATGAGCTCAGAAATTAGAAACTAAAATTGTTGTTGTTCTTGGACTGTTCATTTTTATTTCAACACATTTTGGCTTTCTAAATTTTACAGTTCACATTAATAATAATAAACCCAATTTTTGGTCAAATAAAAGCACCAATATTTTTCCCTGTTTAATAAATAAAAACTTAAAACAACTGAAACTGAACAGACACTGCGCTTCAGCTTACCTGCTAACTTCAGCTGTGAATTTAAGATTTATTTCATCTTTCTTTGTGTAAAATTCCAGTTTAAGATTAAAGCACAACGTGTTAAACGTGTTTTTAATCAGATGTTAATCTTTTCCTTGTTTCAGACTGGATGCAGTCCAGCCTCTGCCTTTGCATCTTTTAGCAAACAGTCATCTTCTCTACCTAAAAAAGAAGAGATCGCCCAGAATGTATCTGGGCCAGTCCAAAGCATTCCCAACACTCTTCTGTCCAACAGTCCCACCTTCCCTCGGTCCGTCTCTCCAGACTCTTACCGTTCACCTGCCAGTCCTCTAGAGGGTGATACGCTCATCCCATGTGAGTTCTGTGGCGTCGCTCTGGAGGAAGCTGTTGTCTTTCACCATCAGGTAAGTGGGCCAATCCAGTAATGAGGTCAACCGAAACCAAACTCATCCCAGTAACTGTGAGGTACTCTTGAGTTAAACAAAAGTCAGATTTACTTCTCTTGACGTGAAAACTCTACATGTGCATGATTTGAGTTTTGTTACATCCTAGTGATTGTATGTTTCTGTCTTTTTTAAAATGTTTTTGTAATACCTAGGACAAATGTGACATGCACCCTGAGACTGCCCACCAACTGAATAACGGAGCATCCATCAAAAAATGTACTGCAAATAACCCCTTTGGAGACATATCTCCGGATTTCCAGAGAAGAAGAAAGCACCAAGGTCACATTTAAAATTACAATGATTACTATAAAATATATGTAGGTTATGACATGTGCAGTCTAATTCTAATCTATAATAAATACATTATTTAATTGGGAACAGTTGTCGTTTGAATAAAAACACTCGGTGTACAACAGCTGTTTAACGTTTTAACACAAGAAATAAGAAACGGAGTTGTTATACGACTATTCTGGGGGTAGTTCTTAACCATCTTTTAGTTTTGTTTTGAACTCTTAAACGTGTTTTTATGGTTTGTGTACTTTTGCGAAATTCACTATATTTTGCAGCTCAGTAAGAAATGTCCTCATCAAGAAAGAGTGTTTCTTTGTGTCGAGACAAAATGCACCAGTGATAAACCAAAACTTGGCAACTTAACATCAGTGCTTTCTGCTTTTGTTTAGCGTTTCCAATAAGTTATTTTTTATAAAATTTGATCCACAAAAATCAGTTTTTTTTTTTGTTTTTTTTTTACAAAAAGATCTGAAATGCATCAAAACAAAAACTGCAGAAATTTCCTCCATGACTTCTAATTCTACTTTAAACCCTTACAATGCATGTTTATCCAGTTATTTACAGTTTATTTGGGTAAAATATTAGTTAATTTATCATCCCAAGGTTAATAGTTTATTTTTATTTTAATCTGTGATTGCTCATGTTTTTTCATGTGACCTTTTTATAGCTGACGTCTTGGAGGAAGCTTTCTGGACCACAGGACCCAGACCAGACTTAGGAGCATGGCAGACAGACTTTGGAGCTACAGATTTAAGGAAAACGTCCGACAGCGACGTGTCGTTAAAACCCAGAGCTCAGCAGGACACAGAAGCAGGAGGAGCTCGTTTCTTTTTCTGTGACACGGAGGCGCCTGGTTCTGCATCGCTAAAAGGGTAAAAACAGGGATCACATCAAAGAACATGCTTCTTAATGCAGTTGTTGTTTAGGCTCTTCCTCTAATTTTTAATTTGGTGAAGATTTATGTGTGCTTTGATTTGTTTGTCTGCCAGACGTCATGATGCAGAAAACAAAGAAGAAAGAGGGACCAGAAGAACTCAATTAACAAAGGTTTATTTAATTACTCAGTCCTTTATAAAACATGTTTTCCTCATGGTTTGTTGTTGTAGAAGTTTCCAAGCTTTAAAAGTTCACAATAATTTACAGGAAATTGTTTAAAAGCAGCTTTGCACTCTATATAAATTTGTATTATTTTTTAACACTAAATAGCCATAGAAAATGGCAAAATATTACATATTTGCAAAAATGAAAGCACTAACTTGGCAGTGAGAATGTTTTAATAATCAAAACTCTTTAAAGTGGACTGCTGCGGGTTTTATTTTGTGTAAAATCTTTTTGTTGTTGTTGTTGCAGTTACCGAAGAAGCAGAATGATGAGCAGCAGGAAGAGTGAGAGCCGGATCTTCAAGAGAAATAAATAATCTTCCATCTCTGCTTTTTATGGACTTTGCACATTTTTAAATGAAATTATACGTGCCTGTGGCAAGTTGAATATCTTGCAGTTTATATAGATTTGTACTACTAATGTCTAAGCTGGTTTTAAACTTGCATGTTCTGCTTAGTTTCCAGCTTCAGCCCTGTCTGAACTGAAGTTATAAGACAGATTATATTCATGTTTATTAGTTGGTGTCTTTAAGTGAAAGACTCGTCTCTGAAATCACTATAAATGTCTAAACTGATTTGGTGAGTTTCATTCTTGCCTTACTGGTTCCACAGACACGTTGTCTTTGTCGATTTTCCTTCAGATTATCCCTTTGTTCTTTTTTAAGGTTTTGGCATTTTTTATTTTAGTTTTTCCAAAAAGCACACTGATATAATATTTTGGGTTTTTTTTCAAAGGGGGGGGGGGGGGGGGGTTTAAAAAACAAATTTATTAAAGTTTTGTGTCTTTGATTTTTTTTGTTTGTTTAAACTTACACATAAAAAAGCATTTTTTATTTTTATTTTGAACTATTATGCATCTTGACTGTTTTCTGTAACAATGTAATAATGTTTTAATTCTTTCTTTTTTAACACTTAACTTTTAGATTGTTTTTGTATTTTTTGTATTGAGGTGACGTTAAAGCACAGTGTCTCCTGTGATGTACTTTAAGATGAGTCAGAAGTTTAGATGTTTGTTAAATTTAGTTTTTAAGACATTAGAAATCCCTATAAAATGGGCAGCAGCAGCTGGTTGAGCTCTTGTTGCAGCTGAACTGTGAGAACACTTTTGTTGGCATTTGGGCACTCAGTTGTTTTTCTGTTGAACAACTAATGTGGGGCTTTTGTCTTATGTGGTAATTAAATGTTTTAATGAGGGTAATTATAGTTTTGTCTGATCTTTTTAAAATCTTTTTACATCAGTTCCACCTGATTGAATTGGTTAAATCACAAAACTGGAAAAAAAAAATCTTAGTTTAAAACTTTGGCATGAGAGGCAGCAGGTGATGTGCATTCAGCATATCAGCTCACTGCAATATGCTTATGGTTACGCACTATAACCAAAGCCACAACAGTTTGAATGACTTTTACATTAAAACACACAAAACATATTTACCTGTCGGTGTATGTGGATGAAAAAAAATACTGCTTCAAATCAGACGAGATCCAGTCTGTTGGAATTACAGTGATGGTTCTTCTTTCGGCTTTTCCCTCTTCAGGGGTCACCACAGCGAGTTATCCTCCATCTCACTCTGTCCTCTGCATCCTCTGTCCTCACTCCCAACTACCTCCATGTCCTCTCTAACTGCATCCATATCTCTCCTCTTTTTCTTTTTCCTGGCAGCTGCATTTCTAACATCCTTCTACCAATATACCCACTGTCCCTCCTCTGGACATGTCCAAACCATCTCAGTCTGGTCTCTCTAACTTTATTTTCCAGTTGTTCAACCTGTTTTGTACCTGTGATGATCTCATTCTTAATCTTATCCAGCCTTGTCACTCCTAAGGAGAACCTCAACATCTTCATTTCTTCTACTTCTTTCTCCTGTCTTTTTGTCAATACCACTCTCTCCAGACCATACAATATAGCTGGTCTCACCACTGTCTTGTAAACTTTTCCTTTGACCTTTACTGACACCCTTTTTTCGAATATTACTTCTGAAACTTCTCCATCCTGCCTGGACTCTCTTTTTCACCTCTTTACCACATTCCCCATTTTCTTGGGACAGTTGACATCAAGCATTTGAAGACCTGCACCTTTGTGACCTCTGCTCCTTGTAGCCTCACTGTTCCACCTGTCTCCCTCTCGTTCACACACATTTTCTCTGTTTTACTAACTGACTTTCATTCCTCTTCTTTCAAGTGCATACCTCCACCTCTCCCAAGTTTTCTTCATGTTCCCTGTTCTCATAACAGATCACAATGTCATCTGCAAACATCAAATTCCGTGAGGATTCCTGTCTGACCTCATCTGTTAGTCAGTCCATCACCAGAGCAAACAAGAAGGGGCTCAGAGCTGATCCTTGATGCACTCCCACCTCCACCTTGAATAATAAATGTGTTTTGTGTTGTCATTGTATGTTCCCAATACAATGATGAAATTGACTCTGCTTTTAACCCATCCACGACCAGATGGAGCAGTGGGTAGCTGTGGAAAGCCCCGGTGAGCAAATGGGGATGTGTCCTGCTCAGAAACTCCATGAGATGTGCAAGATGTGAAGCTGTCTGTCACTCCTACAGCACATCTCACCACTGTCCTGCTGCCCTCATACATGTCTTGTACCATTCTAACATACTTCTCTGCCACTCCAGATTTCCTCATGCAATACAACACCTCCTCCCTTAGCACCCTGTCATGTGCTTTTTTTTTTTAAAGACACAATGGAGTTCTTTCTGACCCTCTCCGTACTTCTCCATCAGCATCCTCAAAGCAAAGATGGCATCTGTAGAGCTCTTTCTTGGCAGGAAACCATACTGCTCACAAATAGTCACCTCTCGTCTAAGTCTTGCTTCCACAATTCTCTCCATCTTCACTGTCTGACTCATCAACTTAATTCCCCTGTAGTAGTTACAACTCTGTATATCACCCTTGTTCTTAAAAATGAGGACCAGCACACTTCTTCTCCATTCCTCAGGCATTTTCTCACCCTGAAATGTGCCACTGAATATTTGAGTCATAAACCTCACTGTCATCTCCAAGACATTTCCAAACCTCCACTGGTATGTCATCAGGTCCTACTGCTTTTCCCTTCTTCATTATTTTTAGAGCTTTCCAAACTTCACCCTCACTAATCTTTCCCACTTCCTGGTCCTAAAAGTCTATAACCTCTACTTTCCATTTCATTCTCTTCATTCATTAGTTCCTCAAAGTACTCCTTCCATTTTCCCGTCACACTCTCCTCACTTGTTAAAACATTACTATTCCTATCTTTCCCAAGCCTATCCTGTTGCACATCCTTTCCAGCCTGATCGCTCCGTCTTGCCAATCGGTACAAGTCCTTCTCGCCCTCTTTAGTGTCCAGTCTCCCATACAACTCATCATATGCCTTCTGCTTTGCTTTAGCTACCTCCCTCTTTACTCTGTCACCTCTTTCCCGTCTCCTCTCTTCAGTCCTCTCACTGTCATATTTCTTCTCCTGAACTCTGAATTCAGCTGAGCTGAGAGGAACATAAAAGCAAGCAGATAACATGACCTGTGGCTTTTTTCTGTGACTGGTTTTCATGTGTATATGTGATATATGTATAATGTATTTATGTAACCTCTCCTGAAGTCTGACCCTGCAAGTATAAATACCGGTCAAATTTTTCCCCCTGCCATTGAGTGTGGTTATTTTGGGTAAACACTAGTGAGAGAGATTTTCTTCATCACTTATCTTTTCTCTGTCCAGATGACACAACTTCCTTGTCTCTCTATTTACTGTTGCTGTAGAAGCTCAGTCATTTATTTGGACGCTTTTTCTTACCACCCAGACCCTTTAACAGCTCCTCTCTGACCTCACAATATTCTTCCTTCTTCAGCATCCACCATGTGGTCTTCTTCTCTGATTTTACTCTTTTTCTCTTCTTCACAACAACGGTCATTCTACACACAACCATCCAATGCTGTCTGGCCATACTCTCCCCATGCCACAATCTTACAGTCTCCGATCTCCCTCAGGTTTCCTCTCAACACAGAATGTAGTCTACCTGCGTACTCCTTCCTCCACTCTTAGGTCACTCTATATTCCTCCCTTTTAAGTTTTGACTGCCATTTCTAATCTCTTGGCAAAATCCATCACCATCTGTCTTTCCAGGTTTCTTTCCTTGACACCAAACCTACCCATCACTTTCTCATCTCCTCTGTTTCTTTCACCAACATGTCCATTCAGGTCTGCTCTGATCAACACTCTCTCCTCCCTGGGAATACTCTCTATCATTTCATCCATATCCTTCCAAAATTTACACACATACAAGCTGTAGAGCATAACCACTGACAACATTTAGCGTCAGACCTTCTACTTCTACCTTCTGACATACCACCCTATCTGATCAACACTTTTTTCACCTCTTCTACATTCTTTGCTAACTCCTCCTTCAAAACCACCCATTTCTCTTTCTATTCACACTATGATAAAACAGTTTAAACCCTCTCCAATGCTGTGAGCCTTGCTGCCCTTCCACTTGGCCTCTTGGACACATAAAACATCTACCTTCCTTCTCTGCATCGTCAGCCAGCTTTACCTTTGTCTGTCATTGTCTCCACATTTAGAGTTGCAACCCTCAGTCCTACATTCTTGACTTTTCTCTTCTCCCTTTGTCACCTGACATGTTTACCCCCTTGTGGTCTTCGATTAACAGTAGCAATTTCTGCCGCCACCCTGTTTGTCAACAGCACGGGTGGCAATCAACCAGGTACGGTATCGCTTAGATCACATGTGTCAAACTCGAGGCCCGGGGGCCACATGTGGCCCTCATTGACATCTTGTCTGGCCCACAAGATGATGTGAAACATAAAATGCTTCTATCTCTTGAATTTGTTTCAATAATCTTTGATTATGATGTCAAAAACACAACAGAGAACATCAAATGAGACCAATCAAACTCTTGCTGAGGAACCTGTTGGGTGTCTGATTTGAGCTAACGTAGTTTCTGAAATTGGTCCTTAGTTTGAGAAAGGTTTTAATTTTGGCCCCCTTTTGTAAGTGAGTTTGACACCCCTGGCTTAGATGAACTTGCATATTTTTGGCAAAAGTGTAATGAATTTTAAAAGACGTGTGTATGTCTGAACACGCTAACATCTGATTGCATGAAGTTCAATACAGTTAATAACACTAATTGAAATAATACTCTTATGAAGGTCCACAAGCTTAGTGGCACTAATCGCCCTCTATACATACATGGACGTTGTTTCGCGAGCTCCCACACAGCGGCGCGTTTGGAATGAACGCCGAGAGAGGCCGCCGCCGAGCCACGGAGGGGGCGGAGCTACAACTTTCAGTGGGAACAGCTCAGTTCAAAAAGCTGCCAACGTCTCCTCCTGTGAACGTTGGTCTCGTTTCAGCTTTCTCTGACGAGCAAACACGAAAAACATGCTCCTCACCGGCGGGACGCCAGCTTAAACGCTCTGAACCAAAGAGGTAGGAGGCGGCGGGAGAAAGGAGAGAATCTCAAGAGACCAAACGACTCGTGCAGGTGGTGCTGACCCGCTCATCCATCCCAGAACCTCACCTGAGCCCGACGAGGCAGCTAAAGATGTCCCTGGAGAGTTACTCCGCGCTGGACGAGCCCTCTCTCCGAGCCCTGGTGAGTGAATGAATGAAGACACTTTACTGACACCAGCCTACACCACAATCTGACCCACAACCTGTTCATTACTAAATTACATAAATAATTATAAGGAAAAGGGTCTGAATCCCTTCTCTGGTAGCTTCTCCTTTAATTAACTTACCTGAGAGGCAGGTAAGGATGCAGAGCATTAAGGATAATCCTGGTGGAACATACACACACACGCACACACACGCACACACACACGCACACACACAGCTTTACTTGCTGTCTGCACAGTAAATCCTCTGTCTCAATACAAAAGGTGGAAATAAAGTATCCGAGTTGCTGCCCACAAGTACTGTGACTGAAATGTGAGCAGTATTTACCTTGGCTATTTATTTTTTATACTTTATACCAAAAGTAACAAATTATCATGTTTACAACCTGTGCACACAATTTCATTCCACCACATGTACCACACGTGGTATGTATGCCAAATAAAGAACCTTGAATCCTTGAATGTTTCTTAGAGGATGTTCTAGTAAACGACTGTTGGTTTGTTTAATCAAATAGAAGTGTAGGAATGAATAATAGCTGACGTGCATTGCCGTTCGTATCAGCTGCAGGAGGTGTCACTCTTTTGGATCAGCACTCCTCATGTAGCAGGAAGTCTGCAAACTGTCCCACTTGCTGCCTATTAGTCACATCAGTCGCGTCCTGAGGCAGAAGATGGTGACGTGTTGACATGAAATCACAAAAGCCCAGACACATTTACGACGATCCGTGAGTCATCCCGTCCTCATTCAGACATTTATATTTGGATGGCTTGAATCACAGTTGCATAAACGCAATTAAAGCTTGTGAACACATCTGTTTTGTTTCTTTCACTTATATTGGCTAATCTTACAGCGTGTCTGTGGAAAACTTGTTGGTGATAGTGTTATTATTAATGTAGAACTTTATACTGAGATCCATCCATCCATTATTTTTACCCACTTCTTCCTTTTCGGTTCATGGGGGTCACTGTGCGAGAGGTGGGGGACACCCTGGACAGGTCTCCAGTCCATCACAGGGACACGTAGAGACAAACGAGACAAACATTCACTCTCTCATTCACACCTAGAGACAATTAGAGTTACCAGTCAGCCTAACATGCATGTTTTTGGACTGTGGGAGGAAACTGGAGTAACCGTAGAAAACATGCACAAAGAGAACATGCAAACTCCGTCCATAATGGCCCCCCGGCCGGGATTTTCTCCGGCAACCTTTTCACAGAGAGGTAACAACTCTACCAAATGAGCCACCGTGCCACTCCATACTGAGGTCGTTAAAAAAAAAAAAAAAGAATCTGTACCTTTTTTTTTTTTTATTTGTGGAAAGGTTATGAGCAATTATTATCTTACCTGCTGTAGATAGATCTTTGCACCGCCTCAGATTGGAGAAAAAAGTTTGAACCAACCAGACAGCTAGTCCAGGCAGGACCAAGACCAGAGTGCATAACTTCGCATGTTAAAGGCTACTTTTCCTGCTTTTTTAAAATAAAAATAAAAAAATTTTTCAGCGTTTTGTTTTTGGTCCCATTGTAGCCTGCAGAAATGGACGTGATGATCACATTCTATGGTGACTCCAAACTGTGAAACATGGTGCACAAGTGTTGTTTTCCAATGACCAATAAAAGTCGCAACCTTTGCCATTTTCAGGTTCAGTCGAGACTCGGACCTTGCTCACCTGGCGGCGTTCTTAACGGCAGCTCTTTCCCCTCAGGGTGGACACGTGTTGTCAGCCTACGAACAGTGTGGCTCTCCTCAACGCTATTTTCTCCTTTAGCTTCATAAAAGTCAAATGTTTCCAAACGCTGTCTTTTAATGCAGAAGGTGCCGTTCAGCGCCTCCTTCTCCGTCTCCTGTGTGGAAAAACGGTCCAGTGCTGCACCTCCTGCAGTTCCTCCTTTTACATCAATGCAACTTTATTAACATTAAACAAATGACTCTTTAAAATTTAAAATCCATTCTAGTTGTTGACACATCAATCTGGACTGAATTAAACTTTGTTCACATGGAGGTCGTTCGAGGAGCCGATACAACAAATCCAATGTTAGTTCATAGATTTTTCCATAAAAGTCTTATTTCAGAGCAGCACGTAGATTTAACTTGTTTTCTAAAGAAGCTGCACTTTGGAAAAGAAGTTTGGGTTTTATCTCTTTAAAGATGTAAACGGCCAACAACGAGCGGGTTCATTTTGGAACCAGACATGGCAGAAGTGGGACGATGACCTGCGCGACGCCGTTTAAACTGCGTTTACTGCTTCCCCCAAAGAGTGGGAACGTCTGGACGAACTGCTGACGGCTCCTTCTCATAAATCACAGAGAGGACAAACGTTTACAAGCGACGTCCACAGCAGAGCATTGTTTTCCCATCAGGACTGGGCTTTATTTTTCCTTGAATTATTGGGCCATTTTATTAGTTTGAGGAGCAGAGCAGGAAAGAAGGAGTTGAACTAAAAGTGGAGCACTTAACCGGCTTTTGAAGATGCATGAGGACGTCTCGAGTCTTTTCTTTTAACAAAACTTTGGTTTTAAGACTTTTAAATCCAGGTCATTGAGTCAGAAAGTGTCCCTTCTCAATTTGGCATCACATTAAACTTGATTTTGCAGAGCGAATGTCAGATTCGTCCTGCAGTCTGTATCCTGCAGGGACTCGCAGTTTGTCCACGAGCTGCAGAAATAAGTGCAGACGCTGGAATTCAGGTGTTTTATCTTCATGTGGCTCCCCATTGTCCCGCCCGCTACTGAGCCGGACTCGAAATGTCCCGCCTGTCCCGAGCTCTAAGGTCACGAAGATCCCACACTTTCACTGGTGATGTCTGCAGTGACTCCGGTGTCGGAGTTTTCCACTGTGAACTTTTCAGAGGAAACAAACGGTTGACACGAGGTTGGGACGAAGCTGAACACAAAGCACTTCATTATGTGGGTGTTGTTTTTGCTCAGAGAAAGCTGTAACTTGTTTTTCAGGACACTAGTAAAAAATAATGGACATTTGGAGAGGCTGATGGAGCGGAGGGGCCGGGTAACGAGCCTTGTGCTGCTCTTAATGAACTTAGCAGTCAGAAGGTCATATGGCGGCCTCCTTAACTCTGCTAATCCCGTCCCTTCTTCTAGTCGGAGCCCGAACACCCTTTTTATTTTGCCTGTTTAATCCCTCGCCATGGCAACCGGGACGAGCATTTTCTGTTCTCCTGACATTTATTTATACATTCACGGCAATAATTAGATGCAGTAGTTTGTGCAGTGTGTGGGGTGGGGGATGGGGGGGGGGGATGTAGAGGAGCTGTAACGACCTGAACCTCAGTCAGAAAACGGATGAGATGATTTGGAGTTTGGAGGGTTATCGGCTGAATCTGCGTCAGACCTGCAGGACTGGTTCTGGCTGTGAGACAGGTGCTACTTAAACCAGAATAAGACTCGACCTTGGTGTCTGTTCACCTTAATTATCCTGTATCTCAGGGCTATTCAACTGGTGGCCCGGGGGCCAAGTCAGGCCCATGGATGAACTCGGTTTGGCCCATTTTAAATAAAACTATAGATTTTAAACTGTAAAACAAACTTAATAATCACAGTGTCTGCTGGATGTCCGGCCCCTGAGCTTTTGGCTTTCAGTAACTGTGCCCCCCCCCCTGAGCAGTTTAGTTGAACAGCCCTGCTGTATCTGAAAAGGTCCAAACGTAACCTCGACGTGTCGCACGACTTCTGTTTGTGTTCGTCTTCATGTGAACGGTTGATTGCGGCTGGTTGTCTCAGACTTCCCTGTCCTGTGGCTGTCATGTCTCCCTGCTGAGCAGCAGACATTCACACGTGTTTAAAATGGGACACTTTTCATTCGAAAGCCTGATAAATGCGCCCCCCCCGGGTCTTTGTTTGGCAACTCTCCAAACTCTTTTGTGCGTTGACAAGAGCTCTACAGTTACAGTCTGCGACAGTTTATTTTTGTGGGGTTTAGATTCACCTAACGCTCAACACGCTGGAGCAGAATGATGAGATAAATTAGGAAAATGGTGCTAAATTACAGAGTTATTGTCTGGAACATGCTCAGGTACAACAGCAGTGTGTTTTAAATGGTCTAAAAGTAAAAGTCTTATTTTTTTTACATAGTTTTTGGTACGACTTCATATGTCACTACAAAAAACTTTTTCTTGAAACTAAGTTGATGCAAATTTCCCTTTGTAAATACAATAATTTTTCCTAATTATAATGTTTTTTTGCTGATGATCTCTGTTTTGGGTTTGTGAACTTACTGGACTTTCTGTTGACCTCAAAGCCTCCATCACTGGGCTGTAACTGTTGGCGACTAGTTGGAGCCACTAAATTGCAAGAAAATGCACAAATTTTCACTTAGAATCACAACGAATGAGACGTTTGCACAGACTTCTGACAAAATGTGGGCCAACATTTGGCAGGTTCAAAATTCCTGAAACAAGAAGACAAGGTGCTGTGAAACTAAACCTCCCCACGAATGTTTGGAGATATTTTTGAGACTCCCACACAACAGCCACCCAGCGACATGCTGGATTCTGTGTTTCATTTTGAGTTATTTTTCACGTGGTAATTCTAACAAAATTAATCAAAGAACGCTAGGCATTTTATTTTATTAATTTTTGCCCCCGAATCTTTATTAAAAAAGAGGCTGTACTAGTGGTTAGTGCTTCAGAGAGGAAAAATGCAGTATTCTTTAAACGTAGCCAATTACGTCATGCTCACAGTTTCTGTCAAATTGCTTATAACAATAATAATTAAGGATGCACGGTATTATCAGCATGGCATCGTTATCTGCCGATATTAGCGATAAAATTAAATATCGGGAGAGAGAGAGAGAGAGAGAGATTTTAGTATGACTGTTTGAGTGTTATCATTGTGTTAGAGAGAGTAAATGTCATGAATAAGTAAATGTCATGAATAAATTTGACTCTAAACAATCCAAGTTGATGTGTTTCATCAGTTTCTGCCCCTTTTTGGCATCTGCATTTGGTAGCAGGCCAAATAG